TAGGGCAACTCAAGTTTTGGCACTACAAAATATATAATATTCCTAGGCACACTTGGCTGGACACCCCCACTACTATAAACAGGAAGCCCCCAGGTTATGATAGTATACTATCATAGCCATGTTAACACAGATAACACTTATTACTCACACAAACATCAAAGCTAGACAGTTAGAATGGTGAAATAGGGACACCTAAATCAGCCCTAAAAAGTTATGCATGTAATCAGTACAATATCTACATATAATAATGAATCGATAAACAAGAGCTCAGTGAATGGAGCTCAGGAATCAATGACACAACCCAGATATTGAAGCAGCCAGATTTAGCCTTGAGGTGTACATGAGTTCATCATCGGACTTATAAGATGCTGTGGGAAGAGAGTGTGTAATGTGAATAATAGATCACTTAGCCCAGTTCGTAGGTCAATGCTCCCCCTCAGTCCATGGTGATTCGACTGTAGTAGACTCAAACAGTAGTTGGGCCTTGTTTTGATCTGGTACAAGCTGACTGTCACGAGCGAGGACACAGGAATTGCCTAGGAGCCCAAAAAAGCTCTTGGAGACTGTGATGCCCGCTGCCGGTCTCACATGTGATGACACAATAACTGCATAAGAGCCCAACAAAGCTCTTGAAGACTGGTTCTCTGGATTGAAGACAAAGGTGTCTGCAATTGTCCACTGGTCCTGGAACTCACAAACAAGTTCTTGCCATGTTGAGGTGGTGGCACAGTATACAGGAATTTCGGATCTGCTTGGTGCACAGAATGGTATAGGTTGGTGGTTGTTGGCTGGACTGTGATTCATCTGTCTGATATCTAAGGAGGTATCATCCTGTCAGAAAAGAACTCAGAATTAGTAATCAGCCTTATTCACACACCAGCTCATCCCACCTCTACCACCTTTCTTCATTCCTCAGAGTGTAACTCTCAAGAACAGGAGACAATGTCTCTTTTCATTTATCTGTCTGTAAAATAGTGCAACAGATAGAAAACAAGGTATATAGTGGAGATAGATAGACACTACCACACATAGATCATCCTCTCTCCACCCTCACCTCTGCACTCGCAGACATTCGTTTACAGTTAGTATCTATATATATTCCGTCTCCACAGGCCGTTCCCTACACACCCACTAAATCTGTGTCAAACGCACTATTGACTCAGAGCGCCTAGCCCTGACGGCCGGTTAAAGATGACCTAGATTCCCTATTTCTGTTATGCGTCACAAAATTTCGTTTGACTGGTCAGAGAATAATTACCTGTAGGGTTTAATATCTTTACAAATGGTGTGGGTTATGTAGAGCACCAACTAATTAGTCTGTACAGGGGAAGGTCTAATGTTCGGAGCCTGATCTTTGGACATCAAGAACGGTCGAACTCTGTGCGATCACACAGCTGACTCTGCCCTCTCTGCAGCAGTGGCCAACTTTAACAAGACATCAATTATGGTACTCGTAAACTATCATCAACTTACCAAAGCTTAGGAAATCTTCCAAGATAGAAATGGAACTTTGAATGCGCCAATTTCTACATAGACTGTATACACGTCTTGACACTTTCGGATCAGGCGAAATAATGTGTTTTTTTTTTCAAAATCAAACTTAGCGTCTCTAGGAAAGAAGTCCCCTGTATTCATGCCTAATGAGTAAACCGGTTTACCGGAATTTCTAAATAAATTACCAGAAATTGTCAACCTACAGTTGCAAGTTTGAAAATGAAGATTTATCAAAGCAACTAGAGGGTCTAGAAATGAATATATTACCAGATAAAGGTATATATCAATATAAGGGACTATATACCCTTCCGGACGGGTTTAAGTTTGAAATTGTACTGAGCGCGAGGGAAGTCAAAGTCACGACTCGTACATTGTGTAGGGTTGGCTGCTCACCTCAAGACAGCAATCTTTAGTGCAGTTTTCCATGTCAGAGATGCCGCATTCAGGTCACTCTTCATCGTTCGTTTCCATGTTGTTTTTGGGCGCCCCTTCTTTCACTTTCCCTCTGGTGTCCATGTGAGAGTTGCTTTGGCAGCTATATCAGGATTCATTCTCATAACGTGGCCAAGCCATTTCCATCTTATCATACTTTATCATACTTTGTTATTGTATCTGGCCAGAAAGTTTCGATAATTTTACGTTGACATGTGTGGTGGAAGGTGGATAGCTTGTATGCATCATTTTTGGTAACTCTCCAGCATTCTGTTCCATAAGGAGGAACTGGCAAAATAATGTTCTTGTAGATTTGAAGTTTCGTTCCTCTGCAGTAACTGTTGGATTTCCAGATTTGCCTCATCCTTCCAAAAGCAGCTCTAGCTTTGTTCAGGCGTGTCTAACCTCTCTTAGAATGAACTTCCTTAGATGAACTACTGTCTCTGTCTGACGAGCTCCAGCTTTAAGAAGTGCCTCGTTTTATGTTATCACAAACGACACCACTGCACACTGGGCATTCTCGTGCGTGCTCAGTCCTCCGATACGGCACCTACGGTAAGATACCTCTACTGACTATAAAAAGCTGGTTACGAAATCTCTTACATTGAACTCATACGGCATCGGCGCGCTACAATAGACTTCACCTCGAGATCATGCAATGGTGTTAGCGTTAAAGATTTGCTGCTACCGTGCCAGTCTGGTCCGCAAAGGGTTGATGGTATCTGCTCTGTGAAAGGGAAGACAATACAAGAGAATGAAGAACCTTAGTGACTTCTTGTGCAGACGGTGTCGCTGACAATGTGGACATAAGAGTCAGGGGTGCCGACACAAGGAAAGCATTGGGTAAGTTCGCTTACAAATATTCAAGTGGTTAGACTAATGGTTAGGCTAAGGCTTAAGTGTGCATAATTAATAACTCTTATTGTTTTTAAAAATAATATTAATGTTACGTTATAAATATTACAAATAATATTTGAAATAACAAGAACTGTATTTCTGAATGGGTACCGGGTCCCATTGCGTGGGAAAAAGAAAAAAAAAAAACCACTGTCCCCGAACTAGCTTGTCATAAAAGCCGACTAATAAGATGCGTTTCCTTTGAAGTTGGATTGCATCTGCTTCAGAAGTGAGGAAACAATAGTCTGTATACAAATAAGCAAGATTCATAAAACGGATGTGCAAAAAAAACTTAAATTTTGTAACAAAACCAAAAGTCCATAAATGGACGAACAACTAGAACTTGCTGGAGTTTGCAGCCGATGGACGCGAAGAAATAAGAAGCAGATATGAAAGACGGATATGTATATTAAAATACTAATACAAAAGGCAGGAGGAGCTTTCATAGCATTAGGGAATTTGCGAAGGTCAAAAGAAATTAAAACTTATGCTAAACTTAGCACTTTTACTAATATCAAATCAGTACTGTTGTATGGAATGGCAACATGGAGAACGACTAAGGCAATTAATAATAAAATACAAACAATCATTGACTGGTGCCAACACAGAATAGAGGAAATTAAATGGTATGATATAATCACTAGTCATTTTCTTCCGCATTTATTTGTAATAGTGTTCAATAGGACATATTTGATGCCACTGTCTTCTGTACATCTGAATATTGGAGGTGACGTTTATTTAACAGCTTTTAGACACCACCAGCGCTGTCCAATGACCTCTTCACGAGTATTAATTCTGTTGTTAACCTGCATCTTGTTTTCTCGTGCTTTTTTTTTTTTTTACTCTATTTGTGGTATAGTTATGCTTTACGTGAGCTTTATTCGTGCTTTATCTGTGCTTCACTTATACTTTACGTGAGCTTTATTCGTGCTTTACCTGTGCTTCACTTATACTTTACGTGAGCTTTATTTCTTCTTTACTTTCTTTATTACTATAACCCGTTTATTTTCAGTGTTTGTCTAAAATCAGAAATCTCCCTGTGTGAGTTCCAGGGTCCTTTTCTGGAGGAAAACCAGAATAGATCCCCTGCCTCCTCAACAAACATGTTGTAAGAGTCGACTGACTGGGAGCTTCCTTCGAAATCAGAGTGCAAGTTTGAAAGGCAAGAACCAATAATCGGCATACGCATAAGTCAAATCTGTAAAAAAAAAAAAAAAAAATAGGTTCTTTGACAAGACTAAAGTTCAGAGGTGGACGACCAGCCAGATTTTTCCGCTGGGGTTTACAGCTGGTGAACAAAAAAGAAGAAGAAATAAATCATCATCATCATTACCATCACTTCTGTCGTTAAGCATCGTAGAGAGGAACAGGTTGTGATGATCCACTGTTTGAATGGTAGCAATTACTATTGTCATTCCATGTCGACGTAAAAACTCTTTAATGACATCAATCCATTACCTCCTAGGGTGGCCTCTTATTTCAATTCACATCTTTTCACGTGTAGCGCTTGCGTTGGTAATTGTTCTAGTTGCATTCTTACTAGATGACCAAACCATTATACATTCTCTTTAACGGCGCTGCCCGGGCAAAAATGTGGAGTTAAAAATCTACCCAAAGTATTTCAGGATCCTCGCGGGTGCAACGGAGTTCGTGCACTGTGCTGAGATTGTTAGACTTAGGCTTGAAGAAGTAGAACGGAGCACTTACAGGTTACAGCCGTGTGCCATGGGGATAATAGGTTGAACAAACATTACCATAAACATCTTCTGTTTCTTAATGAACCTGCTCCATGGTGTTCTTCCTACAGGTTGTCTGATAATATAATTTCTAACTTTGTCTCAGATGGTTAAGCTGGCGGATTTTCTCAGGTATCTAATTTCACAGGCGGTAATTTTACGTAGGTTAGTCTTTGATAATGTCCACTGGTAGCACAGTGTTGATATGAATATACGGTTTATAATCTGTTTGAGGGCCAACAAATCAGTACGAAATCTAAGAACGGCTACTCTCGCCTGCATAGAAAAGAGTTCTTCTTAAACGAAGATACATTTGTCTATGTGCTTCCTGTTTCAACAGACGACTTCTGTCGTTGTGATTCGCGATTCCAACAGTATTATTTAAGATTTTTAAAAATTTGTTTACATTTTAAAAAAAATACTTTTTACCTTAACAAGAAAATGGCCAAAGATTTACTCAAACAAGATCTGTATTCAATTCTGGAAATAGCAGAAAGTGCAACAGAGAAAGAAATCATTAGCGGTTATCGTAAGAAAGCTCTAAAATGCCATCCAGACAAGAACCCCGACAACCCGAAAGCTGCTGAGTTGTTCCATGAACTATCTAAAGCTCTTGAAATACTCACCGACACAGCCGCTAGAGCAGCGTATGATCAGACGAGAAAGGCCAAGAAAGCAGCGGAAGCAAGAAATAAAGTGCTTGACTCTAAACGAAAGAAGTTTAAAGAAGATTTGGAAGCTAAGGAGAGAGCATTATTGGAACAGACGCTGACACAGAAGACAGAAGCAGCAGAGAAGAAACTTCAGCGAGAAATAGAGAGATTGAGAAAAGAAGGTTCAAGGTAAGTTTTAGTTTTACCTTGAAAATGAAAGTTGTTACTCCCCGATCAGGCACCGAAATTGTAAACAAATGAATGAAGAAACAAGTATGTCAAGAGAGTCGTCAGGAGAGACATCCTAAACTTAAAACCGGCTCTACTTCGAACGGCATAATAAAATGTCGGCCAAAATACGATGCCACATTCTGGCCAAAAAATATCCTAACGGTGTTCAGGCATATCTAAAATACGGACTTTCTGCCAAGGAACACATCGCGGCAAAACTAGGATTACTTGACAATCAATATCAACATTGCACACGGTAGTAGCAGATGATACTAGCAGACGATATTAGCGACTGCTGACAATTTCGAGACATTACAGACGATGAAAGCGATTAGCAATACTTTTCTTCCGATTGAAGGATTTAGCAGCAGTAGATGTCAAACTTGTCGGCATGCGCAAAACGCGATTAAACTCATCGCCGAGCGTATCCCCCGCTATGTGCGGCGCGGATAGGGGGCCAAACTAGGTGCCTGGGACTCACGAGTAAAGTAATTGGAGGAAGTTGCAGGAGATGCGGTAGCTGCTGCTCGTGAGTCCAAGCCATCTAGTTTAGTCACCATCCACGGCGCGGGGGATACGGGTGGTGGTGAGGCACACTCGCAGAAGCAGGTCCGCAAGTAACATTTCGCTGAGACCCTGTTAGTTCATTTGTTTCGTTATGCGGAGCCGGCATATTTTTAATAGAACTGAGCCCCATTAGGATATTTTATGGCCAGAATGTGGCCAATTTGGCTCTCTTTCGAACGGCATCATATTATGGCCACCATTTTATGATGCCATTCGAATTAGAGCCCTAAAACCTAATGAACTAATGATTAACATTGACACCAGAAAGGCCAATGAAGCCGACCTAGATTCCAGTCATAATGTTGAACAGATTGCTCAGGAAAGACTGATCAAACAGAAGAAGGAATAGATAGTCAGCTCTAGTAAACAAGTAAAGATCCGGCTATCCTCCGAATAACGGGCACATATTATGGGACTCACGAGCAGCAGCTTCCGCATCTCCTGCAGCTTTGCTTGTGAGTCCCAGCCATCTAGTTTAGCCCCAATCCACGCCACGTGAGCGGCGTGGGGGATACTCTCGGCGATGGTGGAAAACCTCAAATTAGGTCGCTGGAAGTGCGCAAATGACACGTGACTGAGGCTCTGTTAGGGTATTTTTGCGGCCGCCATAATATGTGCCCGTTATTCGGAGGATAGCCTAAGATCCTTTTACACAACAGTGGCATGGTTAGAAAATAGGGCTACTTATATTTTCTAGACAAATTGCCTGTGGCAACCACCTTTATTTCCCAGGACTTGGTGTGGTACATATCTTAGGCTGGCTCATTTTGTAAAGAAAAAATCTAAATCTATGCAGATTTGAACCTATGACCTTCGGATCTGCAGGCATGATTTGTGAGCTGTATGTGATGTAAAATTGGCACAGCAAAATTATGGTTCTGATTATGTTAATTATTGCAATTGTCAGATGGAAGAGGTTGGATGTCTATTACTGTTTAAATAGCAGTTCTGAAGGGTCTTCTGTTTCTTTATTTATTATATTTTAGTTAGTATATTAGATGAGGCAGCCGGTGCCCATATTTGTGTCATGAGATACAATAGAATATATGACATGTATAAATTCCAAAGACATTAAAGTTCTGAATAAACCTTTAGTTTTTTTTTAAATAAAGTAATGCATATAATAAAATTAGATATGATATTCTGATGACTGCGCTGATGGAGAAGGAGGTCAGTCCCTGGTCGGTGAATTGGATAGCAGCTGTTCTGTATTCTATTCGGGTTGCACTCCGTGTAGGTTCATGGACCTCAGAACCACGTTTTGTAGCCCGGGGACTGCCACATGTAACCGCCATCTCGCCTGTCCTCTTTAACATATATAGAGCAAGATTATAAGCTAGAAACTGCAGGGGGAGGAAGGATACTGGCATTTGCAGATGATATTCTTGCTTATAGGCAGATGGGAAGAACACGGGCAGATAGGGAACAAACATCCCAGGTGCTGCAGATGACTAGACAAAGTGATTGACCGGTGTACAGAAATGAGTGCTGTCATCCACCCGGAAAAGGCATCTGTTTTGTAGACTACAGGATTATTGGAGCTGCTGCCCCAAGTTTCATGACTGATGGTAGAAACGTCAGCAGAACAAGCAAACTGAAGTATCTGGGAATCTTATTTGACAGGAGCCTGTCCTTCAACCACTATGTGGAGCTGGTTGTGGCAAGATGCCAAAAGAGACTTAATGCACTTAACTCTTTCAGGTCTATGAATTTTGACAGACTTGACCCACATTAATTTCCCTTTACAAAAATGGCAGAGGGGGTAGTGTAAAAAAAAAAGGCAATAAAGAAAGTAATATACTTCTTATCCCAAGAAAAGTGTATATATTTTTACAGAGAAATGAATGTAAATTTTAAATATGATAAGTATATGTTTAATACTGTTATAGTTAGTAGGAAAGAAGTATTAAGCAGGTGTTAACTTACAAACTCACAACATAATTTTACAAAAAAAATTCTTTACTTACCATGGTTTTGCAGCCACAAGAGCAGTGAATATCCAAATTTGAGAATAGTACTTTTAAGTTTTTTCAGTTTCCTAACAAATTCCAAAGTTATAATAAGTTTCTGGGTTAGTTTAGCACTCAGGGGCTCCTAGTTCTCACACTTTCTGAGCAGTATTTCAGATAAAAAAAAGGACCATTACACACACACTGTTTACTTTGTACAGTATATACTGAATGTAGCTGCAACAATTTCGATGTTGCTTAGCCATAGTATGGTAGTATCTATTTGTTTGAAGCACTTTCCTTCTCTTACACCCTAAATACGGTGGCAAGGGAACATTCTCTGTGTAAACTCATCAGAATCGCTAGATTCTCAAACAGCTGATTGCTCAGCTGCTGCTGATGTAAATTCACTGTTCGAAACACTTTCCGAAAAGTCAAAATTATCATTATCAGAACTAAAAACAACTCACTAAAACAATTTCTGAATTTCAGTCACAGAAAGACGCATTTTGCGGCCTGAACTTATGGTTGGAAGGTTGTTATCCATGGCACATGAAAACTTAGAAGATGCACTGTTCAGCACTAGCTGGGAGTCTGATCAATCTGCCCATGTGTTTTGGGACGCGGAATGTTATTCAAAGGAAAACGTTCAAGTAACCTTCAGAGCAGTTGCAGACAGATCACCCTTTGCACGAAGTGCTGGGCATAGTTAAGGGTCTGAGGCTGATAAGAGGGAAGTCATGGATGGCTCAGGTGGAGGACACGATCATACAGGTTTGAGCCCTGAAAAATATAAGATAAGGAGAGGAGTGCCAGCGAAACAGTCAGACTTGAGTAGAGTCGTAATCACATTGAGTGCAAGAAGCAGGTGCCACAGAGTTGGAAATTCAGCACTTGGTGGAATATTGATGCATAATAATGTAGACCTGGTTGAAGCCTTATGGGAGTGTGTACAATTTGGAACAGAAAATGGATCATTAGTCTGGTGAGAACGATGCAGCAAGGACTGACGAGGGGATCTGGCTAATACTCAGTGCCCAGAGGAAAGGCAAAAGGAACATTTAGTCAGATTACTGCTGGCATCATTGGTATTTGAAAACTATGTTGGCTACTGAATATGGGGACAGGGCACTTATGGGAATGCCTCGAGTGCTGTGATGTTGGTTCTTGAATCAACTCAAAGTAAAGTGAAGCAATATTTTGTTTGAAAACACCAAGTCAAGTTCTGGAACTAGATCAACGTCCAGAAATGGGTGAACAACCAGAACTTTCCGCTAGAGTTTACAGTTGATGAATACCACGTAAAAGTATGTAATGTTTCATCCACAGTTTTTGGTTATTTTATCAGCCTTCACCCTATCGCATACAGGGAATCTGTGCCTAGAGAGAAAACAAGTGGGCTGTAAAAAACACTGCACCATGGGATAATATACCTAAAAGCTCATCACTGTATCATATCTGTTAGTTCATTTGCAGCTTGATATCAGGGTGGATACAATAATACCATTGGTTCTTTAATAATATCCTACTGCAAAGGAGGTCACAGGACAGTCCCAACATTTTAAAGGGTGGTAACACTGGGTTTCTTTGCTTTCTGATGCTTTTATTGACTCCAAAACATTTAGAACTGACCCTAACCCAACTACGTCCCACGAGGGAGTGCAGCCTAGGTCCCACGACTGCATGCCGCCTATCTACCACTCCCTGAAATATTAGACTGTCCCCTGACCTGTGGATTTCCCCTGTTAGGGGTAGGATATTAATAAAGCACCAAAACATTAACACAAATATTTTAGTATTACTGCAGTGCTGTTGACATTTGCTGTGTTAATTTGTTTTGTATCCCATGATGTGTATTTGCAATGAAGATTTTCAGATTACACTATATTTTTATTTCCAGACTGCTTGAACAAGAGCAAGAGCGGCTGAGACAGGAATTAAAACAGATGGTTGTTGATGAAAGCAGTCAGCAGCCTGCACATGGAGCAGACGTGGCTCGTATCAAGTTAAAGTGGAAAGCTCAGAAAGACGATCCTAACAATGGAGGATACAGCACGCATTTACTCCAGAATATTCTTAGCTCATATGGACGTATTAGTGCGCTGATAGTTTCAAGTAAACGAAAGGGTAGTGCTATTGTTGAGTTTGAAGATGCCAGTGTGGATTCAGATATTTTAGACGAGTCGGGTTTGACAGAAAATCCATTTACAATAGTGTGGCTTTCTGGAAAACCTGTTGGCCACAAACCTGCGTCTGCAGTAGGAGGTTTCACAAATAGTGCCTCTGTGGACTCTGTAGGTTTTATCCACACCAGTTTCGTTGATCCCAGCAGTAGAGCTTCAGAAGTAGTTAATGATGGGAGCAAAGCTTCAGTTTATGTGGAGAATTCAGATAGGAATGCTGCAATGTCGGACAGGGATTTTGAAAGTCTTGTTTTGATGAAGATGAGACAGGCAGAGGAGAGAAAGAGATTGATAGAACAGATGATGAAAGAAGATGACTGATAATATGTATGTGAATAGGAAAAGGTAATCACGTGGCAGTTTACTGCCTTTGGGGCGTCTTGCTCGGCTTTGGCATACTTTAGGGATGATGTTTAAGGTAGGTGGGATGGAATTACCTCTTCCTCCTTTTTCCGTCCATCCCTTTTTTTTTAAAGTGTCTGGTGCACATTTTTTAAGGTGTGTGAAACCAAGAGCCTTACTGGGATGGTGAAATGATTCTGGTATCTGCTGTTTAAATCTCTCCCCTTGAGAATGCAGTGGGTTTTGGTTGCCATGTTGTCTTCAGACAGTTCCCAATACGTCTGTATGACAGCTCTAGTACTGGCTGCAACTGCATAGTATGTAGATATGATGAGTATGATTGTATTTATAAAACAAAATTGTTAAGATATTTTTTTGGGGTAGACAATTTATGTTTTAAATTTGGTTAATTGTGACATAATAATAAATGTGTATGATGATTCCACTTTGCTCTTTATGGCTTTGTCAGAGGGAAGGAGAGCAGTTATTTCTTTGCTACGTTGGTCTTTATTGATTACTTGCCTTTATGTAAACAGAAAAAAGAAACCTTTGTGCAAAATAATGACTTTGATTAAGAAACATTTATTCACACGGCCAACTCGAGCATTACAGGCCATGTAAACAAAAGTTTAAGTCCCTTTTCCACGCCTTCAGGTATATAGGGCTAGACTTATATTTTTATAGACCAATCGGCACAAGAGGGGTGGTGTGGTCAGAATCATGCCGGCTGCCTTTACCTCCCGGGACTGCACCCAGTACCCACTCAAGGGTGGGTCGACCTAGGAGTCAAAGTCATTTTTGAAAAAAACTACGGCTTTGCCAGGGAGCAAACCCACGACCTTCCGATCGCCAGGCGAGCGTCTAGCCGCTCCACCACGGCAACTACCGATATGTGTTACTAAACATTATAATTTATTTACAGCAAGAAAACACCTAAGCCCCCTCCCCCAACCCATCCCTAATGAACAATATGATACGCTGCAGTAAGTTTATGCCAGATGAAAGGTTAGTTGGGTATCCTTTACAGGACATTGCAGAGCCAACTCCAACAGTCCCTGTCTGTTGTGTGGTTTTTCTAGGCAAATTTACCTCCAGAAGTTTGCCATTGCTTTGTGGACAGTCGGCTTTCTTGATACCACTGATAAAACCAATGCAAGGCGCATGGCCCGCAGCTGGAATCGAACCCGGGATCCCGGCATTATAAAGCGTTCGCATCGACTTAGCCACAGAGCCGGCGCTAGATGAAAACAAGCTGGAAATAGATGGCTCTAGAGAGCTACAGGGGAGGATTCAACCGTACATCACAAATATATGAGATGCTAACATATCTTCAGACAGTGAAGTACATTAAAACAGCCATACATCTGCAAATGTTGTGCAACATACACATATTATACACATAAAATCTCTGTGTGAGTTCCAGGGCCCCAATGTGGAGAATACAAGAATAGACTCGCCACCCCACTGAGCTTGTTGCAAGAGTCGACTCATTGTGGCTTCCTTGAAGTCGGAAAGCGTTAGCCTGCGATGCAAGAAACCAACAGTCTGCATAAAATAAGTCTAATCTGTATAACGGATGTGCACGCAACAACCAATGTCTGGAATGAGACTAAGCTTCACAAGAAAAAACTCGATGCCTCCCAACCAGCCTGTCGCACAGTCAACTCATAGTGGCTTTCTTCGAAGTCGGAATGCGTTTGTCAGAGATGCAAGAAAGTAGTGGTCTGCATACAAATAAATTAATTAATGACAAAGTTTATACTAATTAATAGTATAATGTTACAAATATAATTATTTATACTGTTAGTTAATAATTAGTAGCTTGTCTGCTCAGTGGTCAACGCCCAGGATTTTTGTAACAACTGATTAAGAACCCAAAATTTTTCTGCATTTTTTCCTCGAGTTTCTTAGGGTAGAGTTTCAGAGAAATACAATCATGCATTTGAAAAAGTTTTTTTTTTAAAAATTAAGAATATTTTTAAAGATTTCTACAGGGAAAAGGATTCAATCCAGACCAGGTGGCTGGCAGGCAAGCACACTAACCACTATGCCATTGTGGTATCTGTTTGTTTCTAGATATGTTTAATAATTAAATTCATTGATGCTCTTTTATCTTTGCTTTGTGTTTACTGTGTGCAGCGAGTTCTGTGAATGTATCATAGGTATGTTTAATAAGTTCATAGCAACTCTTCCGTCTGTCTGTAGTTTGTTGTATGGAGTCAGTTCTGCTCAGTAATCATGTGCCATCTGAGTGGTCATAGTTGTCTGGCACACTCAGAATCCCCACTCTGATCATTCATCAGTCTAGATAATGTTATTTGGATCGGTAATTTAGGAGTGGATCCAGCAAGGATGGACATAGAATGAGAGGAAGAAAACGACGTGTGTATAATCAGTGTGCTGTGGAAAGAGTTAGCATCTACACCTTAAGACATTTGCTGCAGGAGATGGAGCATCTGTGGGATTTATATGTTGATTGTGATTCTTAAAACTATCAGCGTATTTTTTGTGATAGATGTCAGTTGCCCCAAGAAAGGTCTCCTCCCGACAGGCAGTCAACAGTATTTAGATTGATGTACATTAGAAGATGTGGTAGCGCAGTGACAAGCTCATGTATAAATAAAATCAGAACACATTTAAACAGTATATCTGTAGTTAGATGTTTATTTTTGTTAAAACATTTGTTAGTCAGTCAGTCCTGCTTGTTGTGTAGCATGTTTACTGTATGCTGTCTGTCTATTCGCTTCAAGATAACAATGTGGAACAGCAAATTGATCATCAGTCTAGTGAGAGTGATACAGGGAGGAGTGACGAGGCGATCTGGCCGATACTCAACGCTTAGAGGAGAAAGGCAAGACGGACATATAATCTAGCTGCTACTGGCACCCTTTGTATTGGAACTGTGGTAGCTGCTGAGGATGGGGACTGAGCGCTTATGGGTATGCCCCAAGTTCTGTGATACCAGTTCTTAAATCTTTCCAATACACATCAAGACAGAAGTGAAAGGAGTATTTGACAAGGAAGAACAAAACAGTGCAGCGCAAAATAGCCACCCTCAGTCTACTTGATGATGAATACCCACAGAATCTTTGGGTCTGTGTTTACACAGATCGGTCAGCAGAATGTGCAGTCAGAAACGAAGGAGCAGGAGTGTACATTGAGTATCCTAATAATACCAGGGATATAGCCAAAATACAAACAGGAAAGCACTGTCACAACTGATGCAGAAGTTCAAGCCATCAAGATAGCGGTAGAGAAACTACTAAATACAGGGTATTTTTCACAACCAGTGGTATTCCTGACAGATGCAAAAGTGGTACTTCAGGCACTCCAGTCTGGAAAATTACCAAGCATACGGACACTATTATCCGAACTAGGCAACCGTTGTAAATAAGTAATGCAGTGGATACCTTCCCACTGTGGAGTTCCCGGAAACGAAAGAGCTAATAAACTAGCTAAGAAAGGTGCAACTGAAGAACAACCTGACATACCAGTCTCTTATCAACAGAAGAAGAGAATGATCAAATCAATCAGAATGCTACCGAAACTGGCACAAGACGATTACCATATTATGGACAGACCAGACCAAGTCATTATCTTCCGCCTTAGAACAGGGCACAATCGACTTCGCTGCCATATGTACAACAAATTTAAGATTGGCCAATCAGCCATGTGTACCTGTGGACTGGCACCTGAGACAACAGATCACATCCTCCAAGACTGTCCCAGAATCAATGCTTCCAGGCAAAACTTGTGACCAAAAGAGACACTTGTGGAAGTCGAACTTTACGGGCCGCTTAGTGAATTACAAAAGACAGTGAAATTCATACTAGAGACAGCATTGCAGATATAGATAATTTATTTCATGCGAATGAAAGAAGAAGTAGTTCTTAAATAAAATTACTCTAAGATAAAACTGGTTTTAGCTGTGAACAAGTTTTATATTTGTGTGCATGTGCATGAATTGTTCATCACTCAGCCTTTCAGTAGCTTGCTATGAAAACATACATAACTTTTGGGAGACTTGCTGGTCTTCAGATGGTTACATTTGTTCAACAGAGTACATAGGAGCTGCAGGCAGTATAGTGTCGCAGTCTGTCAGCATAAAGATATGGGGTTCAGATCCCAGCTGGGGTTTTTTCTTCTTTGAAATCTGACCTTCTCTCCCAGGTGGACCCAGCCTAAAGTCAGCACCAGGTAAAGTCCTGAGAAGTAAAGGCAACCGGTGTGATGTTGACCACATTCCCCACTAAATGCAAATTGATCCATACAATTGAAGGCCTAGTAGTATATGCCTGATGTGACAAAAGCATGAAAAAGGTCCTTTTCTTATTTATGGAGATATAATTTATGTTGTTGTTTTTTTCTTTTTTTAATTAGGCCTTACACTATTCTAGATTTGTAGCTCCTTGAGTCCTTTGGTCATCTTTTCTGCCATTACAACAGACTACAGCTACGACAATCAGGCGGTCTCTCTTGCTGACCAACTACAGCATCTAACAGTTCAGCTGGTAATTCTAAGTTACAGTACTTCATTAACTCTCTTTTACTGATGACTGTGTCTTCATAGTTAAATTATTTTGATAGGTTTTCCTTCAGTCTTTTTACTGTCTAAACTGTAATTCAATTTGTTCGTTTAGATAAAAACACGTTCAGCTGCGTCCTAGGAAGATTAAGTTATAACTGTGGTAACATATCAGACTTTTATTTAATCGATTGCATTTGTTTTGCTAGAACAGTGCAGACTTAATAAGGAGAACTCATCGGAGACCAAAGAAAATCATATAAGAATTCAAGCAAGCAAAATTACTGTGGATAAATAAATTGTTCTTTAAAACAGAAATTTGCAACACCTGAGATTCCTTCAAGAGATCTGCACTGTGGTTCTTTCCTTGTATTTTACAAGTAATGAACTTTCATAAATACCCATGGCAAAATGTTTTAGCTGGTTGCTTCATACTTGGAGCTTTTTTAGTCCT